ACACACACACACACACACACACACATATATATATATATATATATATATATACATATATAGATTTTTATTGGATTATCAAAAGTGGACACCCACATACCAGTCAAGTGAGCTGGAGAAATCTTGTAGCAATAGTGTAGCAATAGTCCGAGCCGTCTAGGCGCTAGCCCCCGCTGACATGATCAGGTAGGTGGGTAGTAGACGAAAAAGTTGCTGCTTTAGAAATTTTTGAAATGTTATACCGGAAATGTTAGGGGCCTTTTTATTGTATTATTAGTATATATGCGCATAGTATATCATAACCAATATTTTGAATGGTCGGATAGGGTGTTTTTCAGCGCGTGAATTATTTGGAATTCTTGTCGATCCTTACTATTAAGTATTACCACACTTAAAATAAAAGCTTCTAAGGATTTATTGTATAAATATCATTCAAATGACGGGTTCACACCTATACATGATACACGTTTAGAGTCTTTATATCATACTATACTTTTTTTCTACTTCCCCCCCCCCCATAATTTAACTTTACATGAGATAAAAAGCAATTCCCTCATGGCATAAAAAACGTATAACTTCTCTAAATAGACACTGGTAGGGCAATAAGCAGCATTCATGTTTGAAATCTGTGAAAGTACAGCATAATTTTTTCGTCGTTTATTTCCAGGTTTCCAATCTACTGATAGTAAACCTTGCAGTAACAGATCTTCTAACAAGCCTCTTAGTGATGATTCCTAGCATAACGACGTTAATTTATGATAGGTGGATACTGGGAACCGCCCTCTGTAAGCTCCACTGTACCTTGAACTATTGCTTCATCATCGTCTCTATGTTAAGCCTTTCACTGATCACAATAGATCGAGCCGTGGCTGTGAAACACCCCCTTCGTTATGCCCAAATCATGACAACCTGCCGAATTGGGTTTATGATTGGCTATGCATGGCTACAAGGTTTAGCTTTTGCTCTCATTCCGTCTGTGTATAACTGGGTTCACTTTGACTACTGGGAAGCAGTGTGTGCCATTAAATGGGAAGTCAATTTGCCCATTATAGCTTACGTAGTCATAGCTTTTCTGTGCTGTTTTATCATACCAGCGGGAATCATAGTGTTCTACAACACGACCATACTTTGGTCGGCCCAAAAGATGAAACATAACACTATCCTACCAAAACTTTTACAAACCAAAACAGCGAAGGGATCGGAACGAATAAGAGGGGCTTCGGGTTCTAACGACAGATGTCAGTCTGTAGGACTTGCACGCCAGAAGATCGCCAGAAGCATCATTGTGATCATATTCGTGTTTTTATTATGCATGACACCATTTTGTTTAATAAAACTGTTGAAAGTCTTATTGGGAGCAGAAGCAATTCCCACATGGGCAAACCTTTTTTCAACCATAATTCAGTTTACTGCCTCCGCTACCAATCCTTTCATTTACGCCATCTTTCGGCGAGATTTTCGATATGCTCTCAAACGACTTCCAAGACGTTTATTTGGATTGTAGAAGGCACCTTCGACAAATTCTCCTATACTAACGAAACACGAAAATTTTTAACTCAACTTTTAAAGGAAGGATGTATACAAAAAAAAATTTTCATATTTCTCTAACTATTTTCATATTAATAGCCTATAGTACGAAAAACATTCGAATAAAATTATATAAAAGCCGTGACTTCAGGTTTTATTACACGCACGCACAACGGCTGTTATCTCAAATTACCGACTTGTTTTTATATCTCTCAATATTCATTATGCCTACATATTACATCATACTCACTAATTTTATGTTTTTGTCTGTTATGACATTCAATGTAAAGAAATGAAAAAAAAATTGGGTAAAATTACTCGTTTTCTAAGTAAAATACATAGGGGACCCGAACAGTAATAGTGCGATTAAATGCAATAGCGATGGAATTTATTTTTTTTTTGGGGGGGGGGGGACACCCACATTCTATATTTAATGACAGTACACCATTTGGTCTCAAATAGTGCTTTGCGTATAAAATAAACTTCGTTTGTTAGAAAAATGAACTGCTCTATTTCTAATCACGACATCGAACTTTCTATAAATGATTATGGTACAATATAGTACTGACTAAACATTAAACTTGTCTGGCAGCCTTAAAATAAAACATATTAGATAATCAGTCCCACTAAAGGTGCATTAAAGTTAGGAAAATTACTCTCATGAAAAGCAGGAAAGTCCAGAACCCAAGAGCTTCTAGAACCTTATGGCGAGCCCTGAACTCTGGCTGTAATGGATGCATCTGTGGCGCACATTCCTTCGTTTCGCTCAGTCAAAAAAAAAACCTGCTCCCCACTTTTAATTTGCTTTCTAGCCTCTGTAATATGAAAATAAATATATAAAAAAAAATGGTCAAAAGGATAGCCCGAGCGATTTCGAAAAGTAGAACTTCATACTTTTGTGGTGAACTTAAAGACAAAAGTGTCAACACTGGATTTTAAATAATCTTATAACAAACACCTATTTTATACAGTTCAACTTCCACCATTACAGCTGATGTAAATTTGATTCCCGTCAACCATCAACACACAAGCGCTTGCTCAGGACGTTATATGTATACGCTGTTGTAAAAAGCGTATTTAATACATTCAACTGAAGTAGTGGCAGTATCTCATACAAAGGGGCTACGGACAGTTAAAATCATTATTAAGATCAAGACCATGGAAAAACTATAATTAATGACGTCAGTAACAAGTATTGTTTCTATAAAGGCAAAAACAGTTTCAACGATACCAGTCATCACTTGCCTACTACTACTACCCCACTACAAGTTCTTAAATAACCAGTCTTTTTTTCTTGTCTTTTTTTATAGGCATGTACGGTAGTTCAATATTACACGTATTTAAACAAACAAGATATTTATTATTGTGAGGAATTTCTGGTTGTAAAGCAAATATTAGATTTATTTAAACGTTTTAATACGTTGTATAAACATGAGTGAAAAACGCTTTTCTTCTCTGACAAAATAAAGTTGACGAAACACTTGTATGTTTTGTTAAAAAGATTATCCGTCAGATATGTTTACTGCACCACTGGTTTATGCATACAAATACAGCAGTATCCTCAGACACGACTAATGTTTGGTTAGGCAGCTGAAACTGGTTTGAAATCTGGAAAGGCACAGGATTTTTAATTAGTTTGTTTGTAAGTGGTTTGATTTTGCAGGTGCTGTTGCCAAGAAAAATATTCGTAAACTTAAACTGTCAAAGTTACTTTAGGAGCATAAAGATGCTATAAACTACAAAAAAGGCCCAGAAAAAATTGCATTTATTTAAATAAAACGAATCAGCAGTATACCAATATTAAAGAAAGTTAATTTTATAAAAATAATGAGCACGAAAATGACCACAAGACTTTAGAAGAAAAAATATAGTAAATTTACTTTACAGGAAACTCAAAGAAAATGTGAAGTAAAAGGTTGAGTAAATACAGTTTTCATTTTCCTGTAGTCTTGTGGTCAGTTATTTTACTATTTATTATGTGGTTGGTTATTCAGTTAACATTAAACATTTTCAAAAACAAAGACTCACTAATTTTTTCCCCTCTTCATTCAGCCCCTTTGCCAATCAAAATTAGCTTCAAATTAAAAATATACTCTTACAGTAAAGTGCATGGTAAAACACGTGTTTTTAGAACATTTGTCATGGATAAGTACAAATTCCGTATCATTTAATCTGTGTATTGTATTCATAGCATATGTTATGAAGACATTCTTTAACAAATTTTACACAATGTTAAAAACGATTTTTTCAGTTAATTTTGGACTTAACTCTTTCAAACATTATTTACTTGTTGTTAACTTAGCAATGTTAAGCAGAGCACTTCAAAATGGGCTATCTTTGCTGTAATCACCATGGATATTGAAACCTGATTTTTAGCATTATAAGCACTCGGACTTGCCACTAAGTCACTGATTGGCCTTTTAAAAATATAGATGATGGTATCTAGAGTAAATCATCAAGCCATCGTGTTAGCATGAATGGTCATATATTTTGGGCTACTCTTTTACAAACGAATAGTGGGATTGACCGTCACATTATAATGCCCCCACAGCTGAAAGGGCGAGCATGTTTGGTGGAACGGGGAATCAAACCTGCAACCCTCAGATTTCGAGTTAAGCGCCCTAACCACCTGGCCATGCAGGGACTGATATTTAGGTGATCTACTTTTAATCCATTTCACATTATTACAATAAAACACACTTAAAATACTACATTCCTCATTTAAGTAACTGAAGTTTGCTCTTCATAATTTTCTACTCACTATCCTTCTTTTCCTAACTAAGACAAAAATACAAAACCCTTTAATCTGAGTGCTTTCTTCATCAAAAGCTAACTATGTATGCATGAAATATGCACAGAAAAAAAGTTCAAAATTGTTATCTTCATGGTAATTTATTCCTCTTGATCTAAACTTTGTTTTGTTTTACTTGCACTGATTCCAAATTGTTTTATAGCCTTATTTTTTAACTACAAGTACAAGTTCCCCAAAGTAAAACAAAATATTCAGGAGATGTTAGAATTATGAAGAAAAACATGGGTGTATTTGTCATAATCAAAAATATTTCAAAAGTTATTTATCGCTGAATTGCAAATTAGGGATAAAAGGTCTTCTAGTGTGTCAGTTCCTTTATTCTTGGGCTGAAGTATCCTTAGTATTACATTACCACATTCTAAACTTAACTTATATTATCCTCATTCTCTAAAAATTAGGGATAAAAGGTCTTCTAGTGTGTCAGTTCCTTTATTCTTGGGCTGAAGTATCCTTAGTATTACATTACCACATTCTAAACTTAACTTATATTATCCTCATTCTCTAAACATTCTTCATGAAATTATGAAAATATTTAAGGACTCTACACAAATGTTAAACATATTAGGTGGTACTATACTGCATAGAATTCAAAAATCAAATAATCACTCTTGCATAAAAACATAAACTGGTAAACAATTTAGTTCATTTACACAAATTAACCATGCAAGCTGACACATGGTAATAATGCTGTACTAGCTTCATAGTATATGCAGTTTGTTCATGATTACCATGTGTCAGGAATCAATTACTAAAAGGTACTACTGCAGATTTTATTTGGAACATGAGTACGATATAATGGTATACTGTATAAAATCAGTGTTCTAAAAGGTTCTACTTCATATACCTTGTGAAATTATTTAAAGCAGGAGAATTATTTCAAAGCAGACCTTTGATAAAAAGATACGCTATAATCTATATTTAGAAGTAGGTCAACATTTTAAAAAGTTATTCCCTTCTTATGTTTTCTCTACTTGAATTTAGCTTTTAAAATTATTAAATTCAAGACAATTACAGTTAATGTCTTGTCAGCTTTAATAGTTTCACGTTAAACACATCCATACATAATGCAGAGTATCACATTTCTAGTACTTGGATGTGAAAACCAAGAAATGTCAATAAAACATGCTGGTTTCACTTATCAAAGTGAATTTGATGTTGTTTGTATAATGAACATTAGTAACCATTTGCTTAAAACAATGTTAATATATTTAGTTGTTTTTTTTCAAGTTTCACCGAATTAGAAGTCTTAAATAAAATTAATGTCATTACTTTCAGTTTTATCAACAACAATTATTAACATTTTCAGGAGAACAGTTTGTTCTCAAAGTATTAGTAAAAAAATATTCATTCATTCTGGTATCACATTCCCATAATCTAGTCATAAGTTAGTTCTAAAGTTTTTTCAAGGACAAAAATGTAACATTTGATTTGATATCAAAAGGAGATTTTAATGTTAATATGACAAAGTACTATGAACCCAACTCAAGAACATTACAATACATCTGTCAGAGAAAATAAGATTTACTACACAACAGTTTTTCTCTAATTTATAAAAAGTACAACTTATCTTACCTCTCCTTTCTGCATTTCTATGCCCTTTCCACTAAAAGGGTACAAAGCTTTTACTTGAAAAACTTTCCGTTCTTCAGTAACGTCTTTAAACACTTCCTGTTCTACAATTTCATCAACCCACTCTTCTGTTGGAACCAGAACAAATTCCTCAGTCCAATCTTCTATTTCTGGTTCTTCCATGCTTGTTTGTAACATCTAAAAGTATAAAGTACATTTTATTTTATGCTACTCGAATCTTAATATGGTACTATAATAGAGCACTACAGTACAGCTTAAACATGAACTTTTTATTCCACAAAGATAAGCATGTTTCTAAAACTAAAACAATGCTTTTGTCTTTACATTAATTTTGACAAAAATATTTTTTGTTCAACATACCAAAAAATTTAACATTAATAATAATATTCTTTAATATATCAGACAAATAATACCTCAAGATGTGCAATTCCTGATTTAGTCATCTTTTCTGCTTGGCTATCAAGTCTCTTGATATCTGATTCATAAGCTTTGATTTCACTTTCTAGACGGGTATGTCTTTGCAATAAAGCCTAGATTAAGGAAGAACACGTGTTATTTATAACAGTATGCTATTCACAAATATTACTGTCTTAGTGAAAAATCATCCTGTTTTTACAAATAATATAGAAAAATGTTAGGTAAATGCATTCTTTAAAAAGGTAGAAAACATGAACTATTTTGTTATGGATTTGTGGTACTGATATCCAACAAACAAGTTCAAATATCCACAAATCTAAGATTCCAGAAATGTTATACAAACAGTTATATAAAAATAGACAGCTGAGAAAGAAAAATGACACAAGTAAACAAATAAAACAAAATCTTTATTCAAAACAATGTGCTCATCTGATATTAAACAGCCTAGCTTCTAGTTCCATGTATAGCTGCTAAGGTTGTACCTGGTCCTAATGCAGTATCTCATAATCCTTAGACTACCTACTTCAATGACTATCCCAAATAACATACACAAGGGAGAATATCACCAACTCATATTAACTTGCAAAGGAATTAATTATATCACCTCTTTGGACAGATTCACCCTATGCCAGAAAGTAGACACAGTAACAGGATCAAACTGGTAGAAGTTTCTATGGAACATTATTGTCAACTTTACACTCCTACAGAAAATAATTAGTGGACTGTATAAAATTACCCAACATGAAAAGAAAATATCAAAATTCAATCTCTCCAAAATTAATTTTCAAGACAGATAATAGTGCAAATAGGAGTACGAAAAAAGGCGAAGTCCACCCCCATCCATCTTTGAGTCTAACGTTAACTGTTTCAAATTTATAACCTTTACCTCACCAAAAGAATTAGTGCATGTCTACAATCATCATACAACCAGTTCACAAGTATGTCATATAACTACTTGTAGAACACTTTCATGGTAATTTAGAAAAATTAAGTGATCATATCTAAATAAAGACATTCTCTATAGTAGTTATGGACAAGTGAAATTAGCAGTTATCTCAAACGTGACAGAGTAACAATAATCAACACCAACACAAAAAAACTATAATTTCTACAGTTTTATCAAATGGCTATGTCTACATCAGATGTTTCTACCAAAGTACTTAAATATAAGTAGATCAAACAATTAGTAACAGAAAGTTTTTGACCAATAATTCTTTGAAAGAAGATTTATGACAAAAAACAGTTTGACTTGTTTATTCAATTATCATATCCTTCTTATATTAGATATAGAACAATATTAATTCTTTTACAACAGGTATTCACTTGAAACAACAAACAAACTTAGATTATCAAAAGTTTTGAAATCTTTGGTGACAATTAAATGTGCATTAAATTAATGTTTACTTAGTGTTTTCAGTAAAAAAGTCAGTCTCTAAAGTATATGGCAATACCTTTAGAGAAACTCCAGCTGACCCAAGTATCAGTGACCGTTAAAGAAACTCCAGATGACCAAAGTATCAGTGACTTTTAGAAAAATTCTAGGTGACCAAACTATTGTTGACTTTTAGAAAAATTCTAGGTGACCAAACTATCAGTGACCTTTAGAGAAACTCCAGCTGACCAAAGTATCAGTGGCCTTTAGAGAAATTCCAGCTGACCAAAGTATCAGTGACCTTTAAAGAAATTCCAGCTGACCAAACTATCAGTGACTTTTAGAAAATATCTAGGTAACCAAAGTATCAGTGACCTTTAAAGAAACTCCAGCTGACCAAAGTATCAGTGACCTTTAGAGAAACTACAGCTGACCAAAGTATCAGTAACTTTTAGAAAAATTCTAGGTGACCAAACTATCAGTAACTTTTAGAAAAATTCTAGGTGACCATAGTATCAGTGACCTTTAGAGAAACTCCAGCTGACCAAAGTATCAGTGACCTTTAGAGAAACTACAGCTGACCAAAGTATCAGTGACCTTTAGAGAAACTACAGCTGACCAAAGTACCAGTGACCTTTAGAGAAACTCCAGCTGACCAAAGTATCAACAACCTTTAAAGAAACTACAGCTGACCAAAGTATCAGTGACCTTTAGAGAAACTCCAATGAACAATTAACTCATTACTTCCAATTTTTTTATAAAGATTATATTGAGAAGTCTCACCTGAGCACTTGGCTCATCTTTTCCATAATCTTTGCTGGATACTAAGGGAAGTTTTTCTCTCATCCAGGACTCTACTTCGTTAGCATCAGCATGATACTGAAATAAACAAAAAAAATATATGATTATGGCATTGTTGAGCACCAAAAGTTGGAAAAGCATGTAAAAACCCAAGAATAGATCGAAAATGTGTGATAAAAATCATATTAGATTGTCTCCAGAACAGAAAATTATGCCAGACAAAAAGATAGATCTGAAATTCTATTTTTTTTATATAAACCTCTGTTAAACTACCTCTTCATTATGATATAATATTAAACTAGTTACTCTGTCACTGTTACACTACCTCTTTATATGCAAGTGTAGTAATAAAGTAGTTACTTCAAAACTTGTTTTTTGAAAATTTAATAAGAATGTACAGTTCTACATGAGCGAGTGGCCAGTACAAGCCTTTTAATAGAATGCTGTGCATGGGGCTTGAGACACTGCTTTACAACTCTGATCCCCTGCCGAGACTAATGTTTGGACTGCACTTGCCTTTGCTTTACATGTGTGTACTGTGACTGCTTGTGGCATACACCATGGCATAATAAAGGGTGGTCTGATATTTATCTAAACTATATAATGACTACCAGGGCTTCCACTATTTGACTTTATTAGGACCAGTGGGCAGTTCTCGAGGTCAAGAGGGCACCAAGGCTCTTGCACATTAAATTTCACAATTTAAGTAAAAATGGTAGTTCTAATTCTGTTTCAACAATTTTTCTACTCCAGAAGTATCTAAAGGTTGATATTTTGTAAATTTGCCAAATTCATTTAGTGTAATTTGCAAAGAAAGCTTTAAAAAACTGTTTGAATCTTGATCTCTGTGTAGTTACAATGCGTATCACCTGTAAACACACATTTCTTTTGAATTTTTCTGTCTATCCCAAGGTATAAATTTATATTTACTCAGACCCAAAATCCCTTAAAAATAGACTTATCCCGGGTTTTGTTTGTCAAGTGACTTTTATTTTACCCTAATGACTACTTTCAAGAAAGCTGTGTTGAGTCTTTTTATGATACCACCTCAATGAGTTGGGCAGTAACCAATAAATCTTAGCCTCCAAAGAAGATAGAACCAATGGCTAAGTATGACAGGATAAGAAACATTATTTTCTATTTATGTCATTGTAAAGTAAGTAATTGTTAGTTCAGCAATAATATATGATTTCTCAAACAGTGACTAGCTATTTTTCATCTAGTGAAGAACAAAGGATTCTAATGTGAAGTTTACAAAACTAAAGAACAATCCACAAACCTGGAATTTATTTTTATAGTTTCTTTTAGTGATGTTTTTGTTCATGATAATCTTTTTGTGTTATATTATGTTTGTTTGAAATACAAGAATATTCTTCTATAAGAAGACATAAGGTAAGGATATTTAGGGTTATTGAGTACAGTATGCCAGAAGTTCTGTGAGAGCAAATTATTCAGATGGCAGAAAAGCTTGTATATTTATGTGTATTAATAAATTTATTGCTACCCACACAATGCATACAAAATCTCTTTAATTATTGAAAACAAACTATAATTATAAATTTTGCCTATATCAGCATAAGCCTAAAGATATGAAAGGAAGTCACACTGATAGTGGTCAGCATTTTTACTGTTAACTGATGTTTTATGCTATCTTCTATAAGTCATAACTGCTTTAACATGTAAAGATAATAGGGTACATAAAATGAAACTTTCTGATAAATAATATTTTTAAAAAATCCAGTTTTCTTTCTTTCATATTCTTTAATAGTTTCTTTTTTTATGGTTTGGTTTGTTTTAAATTTTGCGCAAAGCTACATGAGGGCTATCTGCGCTAGCCGTCCCTAAATTAGCAGTGAAAGACTAGAGGGAAGGTAGCTAGTCATCACCACCTACCACCAACTCTTGGGCTACTCTTTTACCAATGAATAGTGGGATTGACCATCACTTTTTAATGTCCCCATGGCTGAAAGGGCGAGCCTGTTTGGTGGGAAGGTGATTCGAACCCACAACCCTCAGATTGCAAGTCAAGGGCCCTAACCACCTGGCCATGCCGGGCCTTCTTTTTATGTAAGAACTTGTATAAACAGAGATCAGAAGTATGCCATTATAAGAATAACACAGACATAATTAGCTTTACTGAATAAATAACTCCATTAATGTGATTTTAGGGACAGAAAAAAAAACAATCTATAAAACAAAAGAAGTATTTCTTAATTCTTTTTAAAAACAGCATTTTAATACAAAATATCTGAAAATTCATATCTTAAAGTATGATATAATACTACACTAAATTACATAATTCGTTTTCTAGCACAAACTATATAATATTTAGTAAGTGTATATCAAATTCCATGTAATTTGGTTAAATATCTTAAATGTGAGAACAAATTATACAGAGGTGACACAACGTTAACCATGTGGATCTGATGAGGTTAATACAAGGGAAAATGTTACTATGTTTAGAAGGTACTAGATAGATGGCACCAGTGGACTAGATGATGCAATACCTATTATATACAATACATGTGCAAGTAGTAGCATAATATTGTGAGATAATCTGGTGATGGAAATGCTATCAGATTATCCATTTCACTGTAATTTATCAGATAGTACAGTATCCCATCCCTTAATGTTGTATAATTAGTACTTTGTGGCAACAATAACTTGGAATTGTTAAAAGGTTAAAACTTTGAATGTTGAGTTTTTTGCAATTTAAGTTTATATACGTTATTCATTATGTTAGAGTTATTAAATGGTATTATGGTTCAAACACTAAGCATTTGAGATAAAGAATTAATCCAAAATAAAATAAAAAGTTCAGTTTTTTTTGGCATTCCATATTTCTTTTGCATTCTGCTTACTGCCAATACTGAATCATACAAAAATGTTTTAGTAATTTCAGTCACATACTTAATATAACCTCCATATATAACCTTAATATAACCTCCATTTAATAGCAGTAGATTCAAAATATACTCTTTGATTATTGACAAGTTAAAATTAAGACTTGATATCAAAGTTTATGAAAGACACATTTACCTGATAAGCAAGAATAGCATCTTCTAATTGCTTTCTCTTCTGAGCAACTAGTTCATGCAGGTGCTGCCACCTATCCTTCAAGGATTCAACTCTTTGTCTTACATCTTGTTTCTCTGGGTGGCCATCATGAATGAGCTTCTCACCAGATTTTATTACTCGCTGAGATCTCTGCCAACGAGCCTTAATTTCTGCTTCCATTCCCTGTTAACAGTTGCCCAGTGAGAAATTTATGGCATATTATAAAAACACTTCTAATTTAAGGAGGAAGAATGAGCCTTATCAGTTTTACTTACATCTAATTAACATTGAATAATTGCTAATTAAGCTGACATAAATATATAACATAATGAGAATTCAAAATTAATATTTTCAAATTTATAAATAACTTTCTTTTTTTAGCACTAAAATCAGTATTTCATATATTTAAAGTTTCATTACTGCGTAGATCTA